GCTCCATCCCTGGTCAGGGTGTGCACAGAAGGCAAATGATTAATGCTTCTCTCTCACATCAATGTCTCTCTCTCTCTCTTGCCCTTTCTCCCCCCACCCTTCCTCTCTTTCTAACAGCAATGAAACATATCCTTGGGTGAGGATTTTAAAAAAGGAGCAATGGCCTAAAACTTCCCATATTTGATGAAAGATATGAATAGAAACAAGAAGCTCAACAAACTTCAAGTAGGATGAACTCAAATAAATCCACATTATAATCAAACTGTAGAAAGAAAAAGACAAAGGAATAATCTTGAAAGCAGCAATAAGATTGCAGATTTCTCATCAGAAACCTTCAAGGTCAGAGGCTGTGGGCCAAGTATCGATGAGCATGTGAATAAGTTGGAACCTCCATGTACTACAGGTGGGAATGTTAAAAGGGTACATCCACTTTGGAAAACAGCAAGGTGGTTCCTCAAAAAATAGCTAAAATGAAAGCAACCTAAGTGTCCATTGTCAGATGAATGGATAAACAAAATGCCATGTACATATACACAATGGAATATTATTCAGCCTTAAAAAGGAAGAAAATTCTAATATATATGCTCTAACAGATGAATCTTGAGGACATTATGCTAAGTAAAATAAGGCAAATACTGCTTGATTGCACTTATACGAGATTCCTAGAATAGTCAAAATCATAGAAACAGAACTGGGGTTGCCAGGGACTAAACAGAGAGAGAAATGAGAAGTTAATCATCAAAAGGCACAAAATTTTAGTCGAGCGAGACAAATGGGCTACGGAGACATGCGGCTAACAAGGAAGCCGCAGTCACCACCACGCAGGGCACACCTAAGTTTGTGAAGAGGGCAGATGTCATGCTAAATTTCTAAAACAGAATTAAAAAAGGAAAATGGTAAAGAACACAGATACTTCAATACAATGCTATATATTTGAATGTATGTATATAAAACAAATGGGGACATATGTTGAATGGATATAGAGTATTGATTTTTCAAGATACAAAGTTCTGGAGATCGTGGTGATGGTTTCATAAGAACATGAATGTACTTAATTCCACTGAACTTTACACTTAAAAAATAGTTAAGGTGATAATTCTATCTTACGTGTATTTTATCATAACAGAAAAAAAGACCTGAAAGAAAAATAGAATAAAGATGGGCTGCTTAGAGAAATCTTGTTTCCACTGAGACAACCTACTCAGAACCAATTATCCACCCCTTCACCTCAGAATCCCTAGCACTATACTAGGAAGTTTCTAGTACTATAGAAATTTCTATAATACTATAATTCGATTGCTATAATACAATAGTTCCAAAATTGAATTCTAAGAGAGGTTTTAGCAAATGACCACCCACTATGTCCACCCCAGCAAACTATATCATTCTTCAGAAAGCACTAGTAGAATATAATTAACTTTCTGGGAAATGTCAAAACTGATTGAAGAACACTATCATCAGATGTCACTCTTAGCTGAAAAGTCTTACCTGCAATGGGAAGCAAAGTAACCCAGAAATTGCCAACCTAAAGACTGAAGTGTCTGACCTGCGGTCTCCCAACACCTTAGAGCTTGTGCCCTTCCGGCCAACACTGTAATTTGCACTCCTACTCCTCAACATCACTACAGCCATGTGGTCTGTCCGGCCACGGAAGGCTAGTGACAGACACTCTTCCCAGGCCGGCTGCAGGGATGCACCTCCCACATGACCGGGCTCCTTGATCATACTGCCCCTGGGCCCGTGGGTCTAATTAGGCTAAGGAACACCTTTAATTAACATGGCCTAATGGAGTCCACTTAGGGCTCAGGAATGCGATCACGGATGAAAACAAAATTTTCTTTCCATCGTTACGATGTTCATCAACTCTAACTTCTTACATTCAGGTCAACGATACTGATGCTATCCAAAGCGGAAATATACACTGTAATGTTTCACCAGCTGGCTTTATATGAGGCATTCCCTTAAACAAACACATCACAGATACATCTTTTAATTACTTTCTTTTATTTCACCTAGATTTTTATAGTTAGGTCATTCACAACTGTTTTTCAATATTTAAAAGGCCCCATGGGGGGTGAGGGGAAGGACTGAATGTGTGTGGGGAGGATGGGCAGAGCAGAAGAGAATAATAGGGGGAAATGGGGACAACTGTCATTCAACAATAATAAAAAAAATTTTAATATTTAAAAGGTCCCATTAAAGGTATTTTAGTTATAGGATTTACCAAAAGCATATATATATATAATATACATCACATGCTTGTATTATATATAAATATATAAATATATGTATATAGATTGTGTATGTATAGATAATTTGGCTCCATGGACCTTTAGGAGATTTATTGGTGGCCTTTTGTGTGTATGTGCATGTGCGTGTGTATTTTGTTGTGTAAAAATGGTCCTTAACCTTCATTTAATTTTCAAGATGGTCTGCGATCACCCCCTCAGACACCACACAAAACTGCTCGGGACCAAGCCGCACCGTCCAGATCTGCAGCTGTCAGTCACTCATGCCTGTGGAGGGCCTGCAAGGTGGCAAATGCAAACTGGATTTTGACAAGTTAATGAGAAAGAGGATGTAAAATAAATGCTTTGTACACTGATTACATGTTGAAATGATGTTTGAGATACAGTGGGTTAAATAAAATATATTATTAGTATTAATCTGATCCATTTGTTGTTGTCTTTATGTGCCTCTTAGACAATTTAAGGTTACATATGTGGCTCACGATATTCCTATTGGACAGTGCTAGTTTGGGAAATGTCAAAGTTTGGCCCCAGGCAGATTGCTGATTTTAGGAGGTTCCTATTAGCAAGCAATCCCAATACTATACTTCCAAAATTTTTATAGTACTATAGAAATTTCTATAATACTATAATTTAATTTCTATAATACAATAGTTCCAGAATTGAATTCTAAGAGAGGTTTTAGCAAAAATGTCACACTACTCCTAAAAGTAACAGTTAAAAGCATAGATTTAAACTACTTTCACCCAAATATTCCCACATAATTTCCTTTAGAGAATCACGAGTTTGGAAGAATGCTGATATCAACTCTGAACCACTGATCCATATTTACAGATAATTCATGTGATGAACTTTGATAAGAACCTCAGAACAATAATGACTGAACGCAAACTTTTGCTTTTAACATATCCATAAGATGCTACATTTTAAAAGCCCAGAATACATAATGGGAAACATTTATGAAGAAGTATCTCAAGAGAAACTGGAGTTCCCAAGATTAAAGTTATATAGGCACGGTACTTTGATTCATGACTCCAATGAGTCCCTTACGAGACTCATTTTATATGTACGGAAACAGGTTCAAAAAGGTTGACTCATTGTCTTGTTCTCCACTGTGTACTTGGAGGCTGGCATTTTGCCTGGCACATAGTAGATGCTCAGAAAATGGTCACTGGCTGATAAATGGCAGTGTTTAGTAATTCCAACATAAGAGTTCTCTCTAATGGAGGTCTGATTACAACATCATTGCTTTTTTCCATACCACATGCTGGTAGAGAGTGATGTACTTTACTAATTTTTTAATACTCCACAAATCGATTAGATATAAATATTTTCACAGTAACCTCTTGGTTAACAAAACGTTTGTGTCTTGAGGGGTGGGGTGGGGAGCAATCTATTGTTAAATCCTGCTTTCTGGTTCCTGCACATTACAAGTGCCAGCTTGATTGGATATCACACCTAATTGGCTGGCCTGGTATTCAAAGCACTAAACAAATGGAACATCTTTGTCCCCCATCCAAAGTACAGTAATAATAGAGCAGTGCTACCCGCCTCCTCCGCCCCCCACCCCACAGACACAAGGGTCTTAACCTCACTCAGTTGCTTCTGCTCCTTGCAGTTTTGGGTTTTCTCCTTGCCCCCATCCCAGCTGCCTCGCTTCCTTCGCGTTGGAGAAAGCACGACAAAGACCGTTCCTCTAACAGTTTTAAGCTTTACTCATGGATTAAAAACAAACACTAGGTATTAGCTCTCAAGAGCTGGGTCCAAGTTCACCCAGGAATCCCCGTCCTGGGGCGGAATTCCTCCAGCATCATTCCTGTTTCATTCAACTTCTGAGCGCGAGCCGAGCCTGGTGCTTCAGCTCCCGCAGACTCGCACGCCCGGACGCGCTCCCACATACCACTGCAGGGTGAGTCTCGCCTCTCCCCGACCGAACCCGAAGATGTGAGACGAAGTCGCGCCTGGTCGCCACCTCTTCCCCGCCAAACCCCGGACGAACAATGCCTCATTCGCACGCCCAGAAAGGCAAAGAGAACACATTCCCATCCCAGTCCTGCCCGGAACGATCGCTTCTATTTACCGTCTTGTACCACCAACTTGCGAATGCCATGGCGATAACCGGTTTGCTCTGAGCCGCGCTGTGCAGGCCCCAGGGAGGGATCGCGGTGCGGTGCTGGAGGCGCCGGGCTCGCACTCTACCTGCGCTGAACTTGGCTGGCACTGAGTTCTGCAAGTCCGCCGCCGTCAGGTGGGCGGGCACCTGGGCTAAGCCTGACACAGGCCCCGCCCCCAACGGGCTGGCCCCTCCCCCCAGATTCGCTCCCCGCTGGTTAGAAAAGCGGTGTTATTGCTCCCGCCTGCCACGCCCTGCAGCCTGGACTTGGCGGAAGACAGGATGCCGCAGTCCACCCTGGGGGCATGGAGGGGGAGGGCAGGGGTCCCGACTACACTTCGGTCCTCTTTCACGTCCTCAGCATTTCACCCGAGGCTCACCAACTAGCTTTTCCTGACGCCAGCCACCCACTGATCCGCCTTGTGCCACGCCCAGCGCTTAGCCCAGGCCGGGGAATCCCTGGCCACCTCCAGCCACCTGCGGTGCAGCGGGCACCTAGTCCCGCGCCCTTGCCAAGAATGGGAAGGGGCGCACGGGGCGGCTGTCCAGACAGGCTACGCCCTGAGGAGGCCGCCCCGGGCTTCCGAGAGGGGGTTTTCCCGGCACAGCTCCGCGGCTCGGGCGGGAGCGCCACTCACCTCTTGGGTGTGGCGGGCCGCCTCGGCGCGCCGGGGCCTCGGGGAGGCAGCAGGCTTCTGGGCCGGCTGGGACATTGCGAGGCAGCAACGAGCTGCCTCCGGGAGAGCGCAGCGGAGTTTGGAAGGGAGGCTGGGGCGGGGAGGGGCTGGCGGGCACGCCCGTGAGGCAGCTTTTCCGACCCAACCCCAAGCCCGTGCGGGGCTGCCCCGAGCCTCGCTGGGCCCTCCCCTTCCTGCCCGGGGTTGGCCGTAGCGGTCTGGGCCTGAAACTTAACTCGCTCTGCCCTCCAGTCTCCACTCAGTGACCGCCTTTGCCCCACCTCCCCGGGACTGCTTGGTTCCCTGTGGGCCACAGAGAGGAGGGGCTGGAGGTCGCGGGGTTCCTTCTTCGACTTCCCCAGACTTACCGTGCACTCTTGCAACGGGAGAGCGGGACCCGGGCAAGGCCGTCTAGGCCTGGACTCTTCTTCCTAAGAAAAAGACTCCTTTTCTACACTCTACCCTGGCTTGGCTGGAGGAATTTACCAACTCAAATGTGGCCCAAGCCTGCCGCGCGTCTGGATAACAAAGCGGATCACAAAACCAAATTGGTCTGTGTGTTAGTGTTACGTGTGTGCGCGCGCCCCTGTGTATGTTTTATGTCCTTTTACTTTGGGTGTGGGAGGGGGGGTCGACAATTTGGAAAGTTTAATAATGCTTTATCAGGAGGAAACTGTGGGTCCCAACCCAAACCAAAAAGCAATCCCAAATTTAAAATCCTATAGCTCTTCTGGAACCTAGAGCCTTTGTTTCTGGGGCTGGATTGCTTTTGTCTTTGACTCATCGGAAACAGCACTTCCTGGTTTGGGGGTGGAAGTGAAATGTAACAAGGCTGACTAGGAAACGCTCAGCTGCGAGACTGTCGGGCCGCGGGCTGCAGTTGCTGCCAGTTTGTGATCAGACCTGACAACAAGAACTGTTACCCTGCGATGGCACTGGCGCTTTGGGCCTCAGGGTCACCACTCTGCAGTGCTGTGTTTTAGGCAGCTGGAGAGAGAGAGGCCTGATTATACAGAAAGATTTGTCATGCTATAGGGAGCTTGGCAGAATGGAATTCTTGCTTTTTCTCATTTTTAAGGATTCTGACTTTCCTTTACTCAAGAGACTAGCTAGCCTCATTCTTAATGGGGGGAGCAGGGAGGAATGATTTAAATGCATTTCCTCCTACAGGGTTCTACTTGCTGTGTAGGTATGGAGCACTGTATTCAACAGGCTGCAGTTTGTTGGAATTTATACGTAAAAGATGAAGCAACTTGCCTGTGGGATCTATGATTGTCATTTCAAGAAAAACTGATGGCATCAATTACATACATAATTGGGAAAAATATCATAAGCCTAAAAAAACGCTCTTATAGTTGTGACCAAACAACTACAGTAATTTAAGCAAACGCTAAAGCCAGAGGGGTGAGGTGATAGACAGGCCCAACTCGGGCCCAGGAACTGGAACTGGTTTCTGACGCAGGAGCCCAGAGGCCCTAGATTCAGGTGTGAGGGCCCAGAGTAACTTATTCTCTCGAAGAAGAATGGTTCCCATTAAAGTTTGAGGTGTTTTCTAATGGAGAATTTACACCAGTTTCATATTTCCTGAAAGTCTTCCAAATATATCACTGTGAAAGGAGTTATAGAGGGAGTGATAATAGAGATTTAAATACATCTTACTTGCCCTCCAGAGACTTACAGTTCAGCTGAAGTCACATGACATTTATAATGCACAACCTTTGGGTGTCATTGAAAGACATACAATGTGTGAATGAGTACAAATGTCCTTTGGGAGTTTGGAGGCTTTGGACTTTGGTGATTATCAGAAGGGAAAAGATGTGGACTGAAGAAGAAAGGGTTAGGGCAGTTCAGGAAATAAAAGATGCCCCCCCACCGGCTGGAGTTACTGGTCCAAGTTCAGGAGTAATCCACCCATTTGTCAACTTAATTATTAAGCAGCTACACTGTGTTCGTGATGTAGTCGATACCAAAATCTGTAAGAGATAATGACCTTAGTCCTTAGGCTTTGTTTAGGAAATGCGTATAAGCAGAACATTTTTGGGCTAAGTAGTGCATTGATTTGATGACTACGAGTAGAGAAAAATTTCAGGAGTTGAAGAAGAGCATGACAGTCTCACTTTCTGTTGTAGTCAGTGAGGAATTTGGATTCTAATACCAGCGCCAGCATTTGAGCATCTTGGGGAAGCTCATTTTACATATGTATGGCAAGTTTTGCTACATTTTTACTTGCACATATTATAAGAATTATATTCCTTTATTCACTCAGTAACAGAGGATACCTGCTGCGTGTCAGGCTCTGCAGAGATACCAGGGATTTCTTATACTCGAGGACCTCACAGTTCAGTGAGAAAGACAAGTCAACAAGAATGTGGCAGTGGGATAAGGACCACAGGCAGAGGTATTTCAGAATGCTGTAGGGACAGAGGAGGGGCTTTTCATTCTGACCTAGGGGTAGGTGAGCTGGGGGGCGGGCTGGGCTTCGCTTCTTCCCGCCATGTTTGACTCTAGTGAGTTGAAACCCCCAGCAAGTAGTCTTCATATTTTATGTCTTCCTCTTCATCCCCATAATTGTTCAGGAATTTATCATTTCTGATCAGGAAACATGTAAAATGAGAAAAAGACAGGACGGAGTCCCAAGAAGACAGTGGAGCCCAGGAGAGAGCTTCAGTGGGGCAGCAGGAATTTAACAGAGAAGTGGGTTCCATGGGCCAAAGGAGGGGGCCATCTGAAAGGAAGGGCTGGTCCACAACATAAAATGTCACTCAGAGGTAGGGTCAGACAATGTATGGGAGGGTCCTTTGACGTTTTGATCTGACAGCTGAGAGGTTTTTTGGTAACACGGCCAGTGGGTCAAATTGAGAAAGAGACAGAGAGTTTCCCTGAGGTACTCACAGTTTGGACAGTCCCTTCTCTTTGAGTGATATTTCTACACCGCTGTGTACCCTGGGAAGGGAAGTTACCCCCAGAAAATCTAGAACTTCTGGCTGGCATCCCAGTGTCCTCCGGTTCCACTGAAACTTATTTGTCCTATCTGCCATCTCGAGACTCTCAGTCAGAGAGTCTATCTCTCACCCATCCATAGTGATGTTTTCCTGAGTAAACCAGAAAGAAACCAAATTCTTGTAAGTTGGCAAAGACGAGCAAAATATGCAAAGGCTCTCAGCCTCCTTTTTCTTGTAACACCGTGTTTGGTTTGGCCAAGAAGTCTGTTTAGTTTTTTTCTGTGAAATAAAAGGTACATTTTTCATTTTCTCCAATAACTTTATTGATTTACATATTTTGAGTTTGTCAGTTACCTCCTACTATTAGCGTCTAGTGGGCAGAGGCTGGGGGTGCTCTGTTAAACGTCTTCCAATGCATAAGACAGCCCCACAGCAAAGACTTGTTTGGCAAAAATGTCAAGAGTACCAAGAAACTTCACAAACCATTTTTGATATGTTGGATCAGTCACAGCACCTTCTCCAAACACTGCATGAATCTTTTTTTGCATTTCAGTTGTATTTTTACCTTTCTTGAGATAATAAAGGATAATATGTCAAAAACGGTACATATTTTCTTCTACCTTCAATATTAAAATGGCTGCACAAAAATTCACCAATTTTGATGTTTATTTTAAAGATTTTATTTATTTATTTTTTAGAAGGGGAAAGAAACCTCAATGTGTGGTTACCTCTCGAACACCCCCTACTGGGCACCCAGGCATGTGCCCTGACTGGGAATAAAACTGACGACCCGTTGATTTGCAGGCCATCATTCAACCACTGAGCCACAGCAGCCAAGGCCAATTTTGATACGTTTTTAAAAAATGCACACTGATAGAACAGCTTTCACAATACAATCTAACAAAATTGTTTTGAATGTAGTTAAAGACAACTAAGTACTACTAGAAACATTATATGGAAAAAACTAAAGGAACTTTTTGGCCAACCCAGTGTCTGACTAGAAACTTCATGCTTCTGACTGTGGAATGCAGCATTTTACAGGAGAATGGCTTCAGTGATGAAGTTCTATGCATGAGGGAGAGGAAGGTGCTAGCTAGTTTCAGAACAGGTTTAAACAACAGGAGCCTTGCTATGTGCTATGGTCTGAGTGTTTGTGTCCCCCTCAAATTCATATGTTGAAATCTTAATGATGGCATTGGTAGGTGGGGGCCTCTGGAAAGTGATTACATCATGAGGCCAGAGCTTAATGCCCTTATAAAAGATGCCCAAGGGAGCTCCCCTGCCCCTTCTGTGAGGAAAAAAAGGAGAAGCCTGCAGTTCAGAAGAAGTCCCTCATGCAAACGTGCTGGCACCCTGACTTGGACATCCAGTGTCCAGAACTGGGAAATACACTTCTGCTGTTTCTAAGCTCCTTCCCTGGTCCATAGTATTTTGTTGTAGCACCCCAAATGGACTAAGGCACTGTGCTTCTCAGATCAAATGGGCTTATGCGTGGATGGCAGACAGGGCAAGGGGAGGGAAGGAGAAAGAACAGAGATGGCAGGATGGAGGGACAGATGCGGAAGAGAAAAAAAAGAGAGAATAAACGGTAGAGGAAGTAGTTTGAAATTTTCACTGCTACCAGGCAAGAAGTTGAGTCACACACATATCTATGGTTAGGCCCTCAGGATTTATGTCTCATCCTTTATGTCCCTCCAGTTAGTGAAACATGGGCAAAATACTTTCAGGCCTATTCTTCAGCCTGACACAAGTGCCTGCTTCTTGTCTGCGTGGACCAAAGGGGACTGAGAGTACATCTCCTTTTCAGGGCTTTCTTAGAGAGTGCTCTTGGGATTAAATGCGTCAGGAGGGGAGGTAAGGACTGGGCAGAGGCAGAGTTTGAGCTGGGATGCAGGCCCAGGAGAAGCCTCGGATAACCATGCAGGGTATGATAAAGAAGGGATAGGCTTTAGAGATGGCTGGAATTGGCAAGAAAGGACCAAGCCTTTCTAAACTCCAATCAGGCAGTCCCTGGCTGAGGTTAAGAAGAAAGGAATGTGGCTGAGGGGAGGGAAGTGGCTCCCTTAAATGAAGGCGGCCTCCAAAGGGAGCCGAGAGATCAGGGTTCTCTGCTGGTGGCACTCCCAGAAGCTGAGATAAGGGCCCTTTTATTCCTGAAGGGGATCCAGGCAGCTGTTCACATTCACTGCACTCCTCAATGCTACATAACATCATAAAATTT